AAAAAAAAAAAAAAAAAAAAAAACCAACAAAAAACAAAAAAAAAACCCACAAAGCAAAACAAAAAGAGTTCTTGTTACGTGAATAACTCCTTTAGCTTTTACAGAGGGTGACTATCAAAAGCAATTTAATACGCCGTAAATATCTTATTTCTACACGGAAAGAGGTTATAGGATCTTCATAGAGTTCTATGAGAATAAAATATACTTGTTACCTATTTAAAAAAAAAAAAAAAAAACCAAAAAAAAGTGAGGAAAAAAAAAATACGATTAAAAAAAATACTTTCCTAGGCTTTTATTGTCGACTTTCACAGGCACGCAGGGTTTACTGGTTTCTTGGGTTATGATTTCGCGATTCTGTTTTTTTTTTATTTTGCCTTAAGTAATGATAGAAGATATATATGGCTGGACACATATGTATAAACTTTTCAGCGGCATTTTTAATAATAAAATATCACAGTATTTTCTAACGCTTTGTGCAAATAATTACGCGTCGTTGGGAGATCCGGCGACACGCCTGGGCACGTGTGACAAAGGGGAACGTCGATTGGTCACGGGTGGGTGTCTCGGGGTCCGGACCACGGGATCGGTGCCGCTGTTGGGGAGTCGCACGGGTCCGACGTTGGAGGGGAAAGCTCTGGATGGGAAACGTGGCGAGATGTTTCCTCGAGAGAGACGGCTGACTATATTCCTTGTAGGCCTGCCATGCGTAATATCTCTCGGGTTCCAGTTGTGTTTCACATCATAATGCTTTGAAGCTTCATTAGAGTAAATCTTCAAACGACAGCAAGATATTCTATGGAATAAAATTCGAGAGTTGGGAAATTGCTGTCGGAAGAATGAGAGCAAATGTGTCCAGTTCTCGCTGTGCGTCCAGCCGAGCCTTTTTTTTTTTTTAACACCCACAGTCCCCCGAAGGCTCAGGCACCTGTATTTATTTATTTATAATCCTTATTGCATTATAATTGGAAAAATGATATTTTTTCCATTGATTTAGAGAGAGAGAGAGAGAGAGGGAGAGAGAGAGAGAGAAATGCAGATGTGAGACCTCGTTTGCCTCCCGCATGCACCCCGATGGGAGCCGGAGATGGAACCTGCAACCCAGGTACGTGCCCCTGACCATAAATAGAACCCGTGACGCTTCATTGCGCAGGCTGACGCTCTGACTACTGGGTCACACCGGCCAGGGCTCAATAGATTTCTTTTATAAAATCCGTGTCTAAGCGGACGGGTGCATTTCGAACCCTTGTGGTAGCACCCGACGTTGGCACAGTCGGGAAATGAGATAGGGTTTGAAACTAGATAGTTTTGCTCTTGAGGGCTTATCCGCTATTCTCTAATATTCCTGGTTAGTACAGAAATAGATGACTCCTGGAGAAATTTTGCAAAATATAAAAGAAAGGGGAAATAACCATCGTCTCTCTGTGCTTTGAGGAAAATTATAGCTTTCACACACATACACAGAAATACAGACTGATTGGATTCAGGGTGCCTATAGATTTTGTAGCACATCTGTTTATTTTTTTTGAAACAATGTATCCGTTTCACGTACGGTCACACTTACAATTTCAGGTTCATCTTGTGTCATTCGAGATTGAAATCTCACTCTTGCTGAAATAACATTTTGAAACGCTTGCTGTGCCCACGCCTGACCTGAAACTTTGTATATGAAGGTTGGGGAGGAGCGAGAGAGAGAGTGTTACGCAAGGAAACATTGTAAATAATTTATGACACAGGGAAAGAAACCAGGCTGCTGCAGAATGGTTACCGAATGTGTTATAAAACCAGCCTGGGGAAGAGGTGACGTTTGATTGATGGGAATGAAAGCAGAGAGACGTCTGTTCCTAGCTGGGGATTTGTTCGTGTGCTGGCTGCCTAACTGGTGTGGCCTCCGCTCATGCTTCGAATACTGTGTGGCTGCCCCGGTGACCCCATGGGTGTCGATACACCGATTTGTCCGTACGTGGACTGCAGGAGAAACCCTATTTCCCAAGACGTATGCAATGACAGGAAACTTTATTTTATGGTCTGGCGGCAGTCGCCGATCCCACGCGGCTGTTTCAAAAATTCCTTCTTATTAACTCCTTCTGTCTGACTTAGAGTGACGTTCTTTTTAGGATTGACTTATTGGCAGAAACTACCCCCCAGCCTAAAATAAGGGGCAAAAATGCTGTGTTTATTGGTGGTTATGGATGGTGATACAAACAATAGTCTCACTGATCTTTCTTTTCTTTTTTTCTAATTAAATTTATCGGGGCGACGTTGGTTAATAGGAACATACAGGTTTCAGGTGTGGGTTTCTATGTTACAGGAGCTGTATCTCGCTCTGTGTGACCGCCACCCAAAGTCATATCTTCTCCCATCACCATATATTAAGACCCCCTTCACCCCACCCACCCTCTTCCGTCTGGCAACCTCCACACTGCTGTTTGTGTCCACAAGTTTCAGTTTTATAACCCACAGACGAGTGACATCATATGGTTCTTAGCTTTTTGTGTTTGACTTATTTCTGTCAGTATAATATTCTCAAGGTCCATCCATGCTGTTTTCATGGCTGAGTAGTATTCCATTGTGCCTATGTCCCATGTCTTCTCTATCCAGTCCTCTGTTGCAGACACTTTGGTAGATACCACCTCACACCTGTTAGAATGACCATGATCAACAAGACAAGCAGCCACAAATGTTGGGGAGGTTGTGGAGAAAAAGGAGCCCCGTTCCCTGCTGGAGGGAATGTAAACTGGTACAACCACTATGGAAAGCAGCCTGGCGATTCCTCCAAAAATTAAGAATAGAGCCAGCATATGACCCAGCCATCCCTCTCCTGGGTATATACCCAATAAACTCAAAAACATGTATTCACCTAGATACATGCACCCCTGTGTTCATTACAACATTATTCAAGGTGCCCAAGTCTTTGGTCTTTCTTAAGGTGTGTGTTCAGGAAAGTGAATGACAAGGCACTTTCTGGCAGAATTGTAAACAAAGGCAGCTATTTTTACTCTCTGTATATGATCACAACGGGTGACTCCATAGGTAAAATAAGAGCAATCTTCTTTTAACCCCAACGGGAATAAATCTGCATTCATTGTCCCAAGGGGAAGACTTCTAGCCTTGTGTTAGGGAAGCTAGTCCTGTTAACCTGATGTCATGCATCTAAATAGCATGAAGCACCCCGACCCCAGGGACGAGAATCAGTCTGCCCGGTTTGTTCTACTCCACCAGCCAAATGCAAGTCATGGGACCTTCTACA